TATTTTAGACAGAGGTGCCAATAAGAACATACATTGGGGAAAGGACAATCTTTTTAAGAAAAGATACTGGAAAACCAAATATCTGTATGCAGAAGAATGAAACTAGATATTTATCTCTTGCCATATACCAAAATCACATCAAAATGTCTTAAAGACATATATCTAATGACCTGAAACTATGAAACTACTAAAAAGAAGACATCGAGGAAGAGCTCCAGGATATTGGCCTATAAAATGATTTCTTGAGTAACACCCAAAAGCACGAGGAACCAAAGCAAAAATGGACAAATGAGATCACACATCAAGCTAAAACTTTTCTGCTTTGTCTCTTCACAATGGGACAAAATATTTGCAAACTATCCATCTGACACACTGTTAACAACTAGAATATAAAAGGAACTCCAATAAGTCCATAGGAAAAATTCCAAATAATCTGATTAAAAAGTGGGCACAGAATGGCATAGACATTTATTACAAGTCACACAAATGATTAACAGGAAAATGCTCAACATCTTCAGTCATTGGAGAAATGTAAATCAAAAGTACAATGAAGATATGATCTCACTCTATTTAAAATGGCTTTTATCAAAAGACAGCTAATAATAGACAAGGGAACCCTCACCCCGTATTGGTAGAATATAAATTAGTGCAACCACCATGGAGGAACATTCCTAAGAAAACCAAAAGTAGAGCTACCATGTGACCCAGTAATCCCACTGCTAGGTATGTATTTAAAGAAATGGAAATCAGAATTTTCAAGAGATCTCTGCCCTCCCATGTTTGTTACGGCACTATTCACGATTGCTAAGATTTATAATCAACCTACAAATCTATCAACAGATGAATGGATAACAAAATCGTGATACATATACACAGTGGTCTGTAAAAAACAATAAAATCCTGCAACTTGCAACAACATAAATGGAACTGGAGAACATTATGTTAAGTTAAATAAACCAAGCATAGAAATACAGAAAGACAAGTCTCACGTTTTCTCACTCATGTATTAGAGCTAAATAATGAAAACAATTGATCTTATAGTGACAGAGAGTAGAATGATGGTAACCAGAGGCTGAGAAAGAGTAACTGGGGTGGGGGCAATAACATGGGGATGGTTAATGGGTACAAAGTTATAGTTAGATAAAATGAGCAATATTTGATAGTGCAACAAAGTGATGACAGTCAACAATAAGTTAGTGTGTACTATAAAATAACTAAAAGAGTGGAACTGGAATGCTCCTAACACAAAGAAATGATAAATACTTGAGATGATGGATACCCCAGTGACCCTGATTTGGTTAATACACATTGTATGCCTATATCAAAAATCACATATACCTTATGAATATATACAACTATTACGTATCCATAATAATTAAAAATAAAAATTAAGACAAAGGGAAAAAAAGAACTACCACAATAGGCTCCTCCTAGCCCAGATGTACTGTGCCTACAGTCCAGACTCACTAAATCAGGGCCCACCTGTATCTCAGGCATCCAATAAACAGAGCCATCCTCACAGCCCCTTACAAAAGGATATTTAGGAAATATAATGACTGTACCCTTTCAGATGACTTTGGCACACAGGCTAGAGTCACAGCAGGGCCCTTTCAAGATTTTAAATAAGGTGATACCTGCACACTAAGATCCTAATTCCAGGTTGACTCTGACTTGCCTCACAACTTCAGACACTCTGAGAACAGCTTGTATATCTGTTCCAAGGATGAACCAAGGAAAATAGAGAGGACATAAGCCTTTGAGAGGACCCCTACAAATCCCTTAAGCCAAAGAGTTACAGAGCAAAGTGAATTTCTCCCTGAAAGACAAGAGGGTGGAACGGAGAAGGAGGAAATCCTGGCCATTCCTGCTGAGCCCCTGTTCTCCCACTGTGGTAAAGACCATCAGAAGCACAGCTCAGAACATTGGGCTCCCTTATCTCATGAAAGGCAAGGAACCAGAGTTTTTTTTATGTTTTAATTATTGCCACCTTCCTCCTTATTTATGAGACTCTTTGGAGGCTCTGAGCACACGGAATCCTGAATAAGTAAAGTTTGATCATTTCTATATGCTGAGTCCTGAAGAGGGGGTTGATGGTGGGAAATAGGGCTCCACAGAGGGGGGTGGGAAAGGGAATGGCAGAGACAAGTCAAGCTCAAGGATCCTCTTTCACCTTAAATGGAGCAAAAAAATTTCTGGTTTGGCTTCCTAAACAGAAGAACAAACTGAAGTGATAAAAATGAGATTTTTTTTTTTAATTTAAATAGACATTCATGAGCTGTTTTGCAGTTTTGGGCCGGGGCTGGGTTTGAACCCACCACCTCCAGCATATGGGGCCAGTGCCCTACTCCTTTGAGCCATAGGCGCTGCCCAAAAATGAGATTGTTGAAAAGCACATTCATTAGGAAAAGCTAAAAATTGTAAAGCAAGAGTAAGTAAAGACTTACCAAAAATAGTCACTAAAAATACAGTAGAACCTCTGTACACTGACCACCCAAGGGACTATAACAAACTGGCCAACATATGGAGGTGGTCAGCATAAGGAACTAGGCCTGCTGAGCTGACACATACCCATCTGGTCTTTGAAAATTAGGTGAATTTAACAGGTGGTCAAGGTAGGGAGGGGATCAACTATGGAGAGTCTATGATATTTTTAACAGCTTGCTTCATCTTCTTGGCTAAAACATATTTTACATGACTATAATAAAGAAACGTACATAGTGTTGGTCAAGATTTGGTTTCTGTCTGCTAACATGAATATTAGTCCACAAACATGTGGTTATTTCTGAGCAACATGTCATCGTTCCTCACCCATCAGCCTTCAGAGAGAGTATCTCCAGAAAGTGCTTTCCATTTTCCCTCCGTTGTTCAGTGTTCCCAGTGTGTTTCCTGCCATGTCGTAATTTCAATAGCCACTGTGCCAGCATGCTCCCAAAGAGGAGAGGAGGAAAGGGAGGAATAAAAGACCTCTATGCTCCATCCCAGCCTCAGTTCCATTCTGTATCACAGCCTTCCGCCACTAGCCCAAAATATCTCCCTGATGAACCATTTGTGTACATACTTTGTACTGGAATCAGAAAGTAATATCTTCTAGCCAAGCTCTGGCTCAAGTGGGACACTTATTTTTTTGAAAGTGTTTTCTGCTGAATACTTCAAACACCCAAGGGGAGGGGAACACCTTTCTCTGTACCCCTTCACTGGACCCCATCAGTCTGTATTTCAGCTGTTGGATTCTAAGCTCCTTGAAGACAGAAGCCTGTCACCTTTACCTCCAAGTCCTGAGGCACCAACACAGACTCCGCCACAATGCAGACACTCAACAAACATTTGATAATTTAATTAATTCACCAATTACTTTATTTGTGAATAAATAAATCTGCAGTTTGGACAGTTCACATTTAAACTTTCACACTTGCTGCCACATTTGATCCTGTCAACACCCAGAGAGTCCCCTGAGGGAGGGACTGCAACCATCCCCACATTTGCAGATGAGGACGCTGAGTTGGAAAGAAATTAAGTGACTTGACCATTACTAATTTCACAAGGAGGGAATGAAACAATTGAATAAACATTCCTATCTAAATTCTTTAAACCAACCTTCATTACAATCTCACATCTCAAAGAGGATCCTGCTGGATTAGATCAGAGGGTTGTTTAGAACATCTTGAATATTGAACTAACTTTTTCAAATTGTTGATTCATAATACACAATTATCCCTGGTCCATGAACATCCCTCTTTGATTTTTATGTATCTATTTTTTATACATTTAATTCTTTTTAATCATGCAAACACTGGTGTAAATAAACTCTATTCAGATTAAGATTTATTCTGCCATGGAATAAAGAGAAAATCCAGGAAAGGAATATTCTTCCTGAACACTAATCCAATGTGTTCAAATGATATCTGAGTAGTCTCGGTATAATAATATCTCCATTAAAGAAGTAGTTGGATTTCAAATATGTCCAGTCTTTTGCCATGTACTTCAAAACAGTAGGCAGCGTTTACATCAGTGTGTGTCCAGAATGCAAAATAAGAATGTTAGTGTGTGCTGGGGGCACAGGAAGATATGTTATAATACAAAAGACACAAAATAAAATAAAACACCACTTGTTTCCTGAACCCCACCATTCCCTTTTATTCAGGGAAAAAGAATATGGATTACCTCTTCCATTCAAACTCAACTAAAAATGCTAAACAAGATTCATCCAGACAGACTGGCAGAATTTCAGATCAGCCCCGCTGTACCTGGACAATGTCTCCCACATTGCTTCAAGAAGAGACGCCGCTTTCATTCTATGATAGTTCTTTGACCAAGAATTGACTCACCAAGGACTCTTAATGTATGTGTTCTAATTGTCTAAAGAATTTCAGACTGCAATCTTCAAACTAAGCTAATATTTTTTGAGGGTGTATTTTGGTTAAAATGTTATCATGAGCTAATAAATTCAGCCCGCTGATACAAGACCCATCTACCTTCGGGTTATATGGGCACACTCAGGGGGCTTAGGGGGCACGTAATAAGCAACAGGAGCTCATGGAGTGCCTGGGATCCTGGGATGTAAAGTGAAGTCATTATCTGTTGAAAAAAAAAAGACTCCCCCCCCAAAAAAAGGCCAGTCTGAGCTGAGAAAATCAAACTTAGAGTCCATGATGTTGCACTCAGCACAAGCTCTATTCATCTTCAGCTTGGCAGAACCAGTAAAGGGTGTGCATGGGGTTCTTTTTATCTCACAGCTGCAAAGCCAGGCAACAGTGCTTCAAACAATTCACAAAGTTTTTATTTTAATCTTGGACACATCTCACTTCATATAAAGGAGCTATGCCCATAGGCATTTAGAAATCATTTGGAAATGGAGCTACGGCTTAGATATCTGAAGACTGGTCAGCGAGCAATGCTGAAAATCATTAAGCAAGTCTTGCTTGTAGCGATGGGAACCCTGAGAATGAGAGAAGCATAACGTGCAAGTGAAGTTAGGTTTAAATGAAAAAGCGGACACCTACACTCCAGTCCAGAGTCGCTCTGGGCTCCTTCGCTGGACCATTTGCCACGGGAAGGCTGAGCGGGTGTGCAGGAGCCAGATGCTGGAGGCCCGCCCGGGAGATTGCTTTCCTGCAGCAAGAAGACAGAAACACAGAGAAAAACCAGTATCAGAATCTCATACAGAGCTCAGAATTTCTCATAAGATAGAAATGATACCTGAGTTAGTCTTCTACATCTGAAACCCTTTCCATATGTATTAGAATATGCTCTCTGAAGAGCAGGGTATAGACAGAAGGGGTCACGTGTAGAAAGGCAGGAAGGTTGAGGGGAACATTATGGGGAAATACTGCATTAGGGCCTAAAATTAACATATAAACCCTATTCAGGGTAGCGGGCAGGAAGAAAGGTCTTGTCTCTTTATTTACGAAAAAGGCCTGGGGTTTGGGCAGTCACAATACTTGGACAATTGTAACGTTGCCAGAGACTAAAAGCAAGAAAGGCAAGCCTCTGAGGTATTTTACGGATTTTACGGAAATGTCTCCATTTCCTAGTAAAGCACACTCCAGACTGGTCACAGCTGAAAGTTCACACTTACTCCTCTCTCCTCACAAGTACACGCTCCTTTACCCATGCATGGGACTACTTGAGCTTGGGGTTCTAAATGGGAAAGGACCGATTTGCATCTGCCAAGAAAGAAACCAAACACACTCATGAGATTTTAAATCCGTTGGGTGGAATATGACAACATTCAGGTCAAAAGGAGAGAATGAATCAGGAGAGGTTGAGATAGTCAGCCCTGACCTGGGTCTGCGAAGATAAGAGGTAAGTAAGAAAAGCTACTTTGGCAAAGCAAATATCACTGAGCAAAGGGGAGGGAGGAGTTCTCAGAGCAGAATGGAGAGCAGAAAAAAGAAGGAGCCCCTAGGGAGAACTGTGATATCATCAGGGATTAGGAAAGGTCAATTTCTGGACCCCTTCAAAAATGTCAGATGAGGGTCTCAAGCTCAAAAATGAGTGCTGACTTGTGAACTAATGAAGTGGCTCCCTGAAACTGAGAGGGGCTTTTCCTCTAAAGCAATATTTAAGGGTGGTTTGAGAGGCCTTGCATTAGAATTAGAAGGGTCTTATGATGCTGCAGCTCTAAGTCCTGAATCAGAGGGAGGGTGAGGCACAGGGACCTAGACTCATTCACACGCCCAAGGCGTTCCCTTCTGGGCACAAAGGGTTTCAAAATTTGCTCTATGAGAGCAAGTACATTTGGGCAGACCTCTAAAGAAAATCATCAGCAACTTCATTATTTGTTACTTTGAAATTGTCTTTCTGTAGCTTATGTCATATGACGTGAATATCCCAGTAAGAACCTACTACCTGAGACTCGGGTTGCGGACACACTAGGTCCCCAGAGAGGCCCCAATCCTCAGACTCCTTCACCTTCTGTCTACAGAAGGACAAGACTTCAGATAGTGGAATGGAGAAAAGGAAAGCAGAGACAGCCAGAATCCTGCCAGACCTGAGCCAATGAGCCTACTCATGTCCTCTGCAAATGCCACCCAGAGATGCAATTTGTAAAGTTGAGCAAGATGAACAGAGTCCCCAAACCAGAGCATAGGCTGAGTAGAAGCCAGTAAAGAATGCAGGATCGTGCAATCACTAGTCAATCACCAAGTATATCAGAGACCTCAGCATGTGTCTAGACCTCTGTTTTTCTTTTTGAGTCACTTATATTCTACACAGGAATTCCCAGAAATAGCAGATGCATCTTCAGCAGTTGGAAGTGATCGTAACAAGATTGCTGGTAGCCTACTTTCAGAAGCTCCCACTGGGCAGCAGATAGTGTACTTGCCTTATATAATCCTCCGAAGAAACATTACAAGTATGGGGGCCTTTACTGATGACACAATATTCTTTTCCTCACTTTCATCAAAGCAAATAATTAACAACATCAATTTTGGCCCCTTACCCCAAGGTATATTCCAAGTCATTAAGCCATAAGAACAGTGGAAGATTTGTACATGGTGATCCTTTATCTCCAGCAATTTCCTTCCTCTCACTTTCAAGATACTTCCTTAGCGTGTCTGAACCACAGTTTTTGTCATAAGAAAATCAGACCTCTGGAGGAGGAGTTAGAATCTATAGGTCCACCTCTCACCACAACCTAAGCATAAATATGCTTACAAAAAATACCAAAACTCTTGGTGCCCCAAAGCCCAAACCTCTTAGAATGGCTGAAGAATTCCTAAATCTTGAATTAATTTTTTTAAAAAATGAATCCTTTATCTTTTCATGAACAGTCTAAGACAGTTGTGGTCAGGAAAAAAGAAATCTTTCTAAAAGGGAGGAAATAAAATTCTACTGTCAGGCACCTATAGAAACCAGAAAACAAATGAGTTTGACTCATCAGAACTTACATACTCTGACCACCAAAACCTGATTACTCTTCCAAATTCAGACTCCAGGAAGGGCAAATTATTCAAATCATCAAATTAGAATGCAAAGGATCTATGTGCCTGTGCACAGAAGAAAAGAAACATACAAATGCTTAGCCCTGAATTAAAATACAGTCAACTCACACTCTTTTCTAGCCTGTGAATACAATTAGGTATGGACTTTTTTTGATCGTTTACTCCTCATTGTCGATACAATCTAAGGTTGGTTTTATGTAGCATTCATAGAGCAAAACTGTATATCTTCTACACACATAAATGTCAATTATGATAAAAAATAAGTAATAAACATCACATGGTCTGCCAGGTTGTAACTGAACATGAGTTTAACAAAAAGACATAAGTCAGTGGGTAGTGTACCAGCCCCATATACTTAGGGTGGCATGTTCGAACCCAGCCCCAGCCAAACTGCAACAAAAAAAATGGCGGGGTGTTGTGATGGGTGCTCCTGGTCTCAGCTACTCTGGAGGCTGAGGCAGGAGAATCGCCTAAGCCCAAGAGCTGGAGGCTGCTGTGAGCTATGACTAGGGTGACCAGACATCCCGATTTTGGCGGGACAGTCCTGCTTTTCAACAATTTGTCCTGCGTCCCATGGCATTTTAAAAAAGTCCCAATTTTTGGAAAGAATGCACCAACGGGCTGGAGAACAAGAAGGGAATATACAGTTTTTGGCCACCATATGGCTATTTCACCAGAATATGAGTTTTATATTATTTTTGTTAATTTTATAATGTTAAACTGTAATAAATAATTGCTGAGAAGTGATTATCAAGAACTGCTTATCAAAGTTTGCCTTGTTGTCAGGCCTTGTCCTGCGCCGTCCCCTGCCCCACGCCCCCGCTTCGCCCCCACCCATGTTGTCCCGCCTTACAGATGTTAGAATCTGGTCACCCTAGCTATGACATCACAGCACTCTACAGAGGGTGACAAAGTGAGGCTTGGAGAAAAAAATATATAAGAATAGGGAGAAAATGTACAGTTACTCTAGGAGGTGGGAAGTAATTTTCTGATTATAGTTTTCCATTTTTCTAAATAACCATGGAGAAAATTCATTTTTCCAATAACTCATACATGTGTACACATTTGCCTTCAAAATAAGAAAGTAATTTCATTATATCTCAGAGTTCAAATAAACTTAGTGTAAGTTACTTTTCTATTTGAATTTATCTTAGTGGTGGAAGATGACATTTAAGAGTCTGGTGGAACTTGGTGTGTGGTTGGAGGGGGAATAAGGGAGCAATGGCTTTATGCGGCAATTTGCTCTGATAAACAAAAAAAGTCAATGAGATTTCAACTTCTCATTCTTTCCTCCTGCTCAGAATCCTCCTAAACCCACACAGTCAGCAAAACTGTGAAATGCCAAGGATTATTTCTATTAATTTCACAGCAACACTTCATGGCGGCTGACTGCAATCATAAAAGCATCGTTGAAAAGAACTGTGATATTAACTGTGAAACAGCTATGAAAAGAAAATATCCTGTAATGTAGTTTCAGTAACACAAAGTCAGAGTTAATGACAATTACCTGACATGAAAGACCTCTAATGTATTTAGAATATAAAAGGCATCATACATTTTAAATAGCATTCTATTATTCCCTTCACTTCATTCAGTAAGACTATAAACTCCTAAAGGACAGGGCTCAATTCATCTACTAATCTTGTTATATTCTAGCCCTGGGGTAGACACAGCATATATTCAATAAATGCTTTCTGAGGTAATGAATGAACTTGACCAAGAAGCCAGGAAAACAGCTTGCTGATTAGATCAAGGGTTGAGAAATCTGATTAGTATAATTTGAATTATATGCCAGGCCTTACATTTCAGAGATATTCTTTCCTGAGAGAGTCAGAAATCCTTCAAAGCAGCTCTTTAAAAATAAATGCAAATGAGCTAGAATCCGTATTAAGAAGCCTAAGAAACACCAAAACGGCTTTGTGTGATCAACAGTAAAATGAAATCCTACAGCTACATTTGTAAAGGGTGTATGGTGTTAATATTTTTATAATTTATTTACTGAAATAAATATGTAACATATACTCTTCATAAACAGAATTTTTGAAAAATGTATGAGAAAACACACAAATAAGTGATTATTTAGCCAGAATACCCTTTAGTTCTCTATTTTCCAAATTACTCTCCATTCTCTCTGGTCCCACTCTGGCTCTCTGTCTATGTGGCTCTGACTTTCTATCCATCCCCATATCTGAGTGATTCTACACATGCCAGTAGAATGAGGATCCTCCTGCAGACTGAAAAGGTGCTAGAGAATCAGTAGGTTCCCTAGCCAAGGTATCTCCTCAAGACTAACACATTAGAGACTTAGAGACTTGTGAGCTCATTCCATCCCATTGTTCTAGAACCAGCTGTCTCAAAAGTTACTCAGTACCTTGGTTTAATTCCCCAAGTCCCAAGTACCTCAAGAGAAATCTTAATTACTGTGTGTGTGTGTCGATGTGTTTTTCTCATAATGTAAGGGAAAAACTGACTTCACTTATATGCAAAGCAGCCCATAATGCTTTTTGGTTGACCTAGACAAATGCTAAAGACAGTCCACACAATCAGAAACCATCCCAAGCTCTGGACAAAATCCAAATATTCCACCAAAGGATTTATGTAGGGGAACAAATCGCATCATTATCTGAGACTAAGTCCCACTCCATGTTATAAACTCAAAGTATTATT